TTTTTTAAAAGTATTAATTATAAAATGATAGTCTTAAAATTCATATGATTATATATTCTAAATAATATCATTAAGTATAGTACACCATAATCATATTTATATCCTGCTTTTCACTATCCTGAATTTTGAGACTGTATTGCCTCATTTTAGGTAAGGTTTGGCCTTCTTGGACAAAATTTACTGAGCCTAGAGAGCTGAGAGAATAATTAAAAACTTACTGGCTTTGCCAAGTGTTTTCATATGTTTCTGGTCTCATGGAAAATGAGTTTTGATTTCATTTTAGCTCCCTCCATGCATGGCAAAGCAAAAAATAAAAAAGAAAAAAAAGAAAGAAAGAAAGATTAAAAAAAAAAAAAGCCAAAGCTAGCAACTTTGACCAGTTCTAGTTAAATTTGTGACTCACACTGTTTGAGCTGCTCTAGAGCATTCTGCCAGAGGGCTTTCCAGAGCAGGGAACCATTTCCCCACCCAACATCAAATTGTAGAAAAGAAAAGAGAAACTCAAGAAAAGAGGACTAAGTTCAATTTAGGATATAATCTAACTAACTAATTTTGTTCCTAGTTTTGAACTAAAATGTGGAGTCATTTTACATACTTTTTGTTTGTTGTTTGTTGTTTGTTTTTGAGACATGGTAGCTATGTAGGTCAACTATGTAGCTCTGGTTGTCCTGAACTCTATAGACCAGGCTGGCCTCGAACTCACAAGGATCTACCTGTCTCTGATCCCAAATGCTGAGATTAAAAATGCTCAGTTTATTCCATACTTTTTTCAATTTCTCAGGTAATTTTTTTTTTGAGGCAGGTTTCTCTGTGTAGTTTTGGAGCCTGTCCCAGAACTAACTTCTGTAGACCAGGCTGGCCTCAAACTCACAGAGATACTTTGGCCCGGCTAGGAATGCATTCTTTATGACAGACCCAGCCTCTCCTCTGAGAGAGTTCTCTTCACTGCTTTAGTTCAGTCTTCAGGCTGGCACGTCCCAGCACCTCCTCTCCATGGCAGCCCTGTGTAGCCTCTTGTAGACCTTGTTTATTCATATTCAAGTTTGCCCCAGCAGGGGAACGAAGAAGCTACCAGCTGGGGTTACTAGCTTAGACCAATCCCAGCACTCGGCCACTGTGTCCATCTTCATTGTTCTCCATTAACTTGTTACCTAAACTGTCACTATTCAGACTGTATTCTGACAAATACCTGATCATTTTCTTCGTAAACAAATATACATGGATGGCAAACAGCTTTGAAAATTAACATGATTTCAGTATCAGAAATACATGAGCCTATTGAATGAAATAATTTCTAGTTTCTTGAAGTTGCTTAAATTAAAAACATGCGTTTCTACAGTTGGGAAAACATGTATGGTAAAAATGTTTGAAGCCCACCAATCTCTCTAACCACATAAACTAATGAGTTCCTTCTGTCTTCTTTGAATGAAATCACCATGAGTGGTTAGATGTTGATTTAACATAAAACAAATGGAAATGGGTGTTTCTTTTGTCCTTTGTAGAATCTATTAAAAAAAAAACAATTAGCAAGTATGATGAAGAAGTCAAAGATTTTGCCATTACTTAAATAATAATATCAATTGAGTGGTTGTGTCCAGTCCATTGGATTTTAGGAACGAGTAACATATTCCAGTTCCCCCGACATTGAGCATATCTGTAGACACTATTTAGCAACTCGTTCATGTTTTTTCCCCTACTACCATAACACCTGTATTGCTGGAGATGGTGTCTTAAATTGTCATGAAGTGTCAGGTAAGCTATGCTTTCTGCATGCGGCCAGGCTCTGTGGAGTGTATCACATAACTGTTCCTTTTCAACGTCAGGGCTGTGACTAACAGCTTAATCTTCAACATTTAAATTGAATTGATGGCTCTGCCAATTCTTTCTTGTATATATACCCAGAAAGTTGAACTATTATGATATTTAAATAAGAATTAAAAGTTATTAATATTTAAGATATCTTGGAGAAGTGATATCACTATAGATGTGTGTGTGTGTGTGTGTGTGTGTGTGTGTGTGTGTGTGTGTGTGTGTGTGTTTTGGCATAGCAAGTATACATTCTTAGGATGAACATTTTCTGAACCTTTGAGCTGTAGAGAATATACACCCTATTGAATCAAGATTGGAAATTTTTTATGGGTCATTTTATGTTCCCTAGAGTTTTAACTCACTTTTGGCAAACTTTTAAGTGTGTGTGTGTGTGTGGTGTGATGCTGTCGCCTTAGAAGTGTAGTGGAGAGTAACTTACTTTATGTCCTGAGCAACAAAGAGTATCAGACATATGAAATGTAGACAGTGGTTTCTTTCAGAGATTCTTTCTGAGAGAATTAAATAAATGAGCCAACATATGGCCAGCTTAATTCAGGCAAAAATGTCTATTGATTACTTACTAAGCTCACTAAATAAAAACTTCAGGCTAAGTTTTGCTTCCCCAAAGAAAATAGGATTAGACGGGTCTGTGCACTCACTGGGGCTTCCTGTGAATCAGGCCAGATGAATGAAAACCTTCAAAGCTGAACAAAAGAAAGAGCTATTTTTTTTGGCAAATGCAAATTATTAGTAGATTGACATACTGTGTTTTACACTCACAAATAATTTTTTTTTGAAAAAGGAGAATGTGATATTAATGGTCTTTGATGTCTGAGAATCATCGGTCTGCCTTCTTTTCACCCACTGTACTAGGGTAGGCGGACTTAACTTTTCTCGCTCCTTGTACAGCTTTGACTAGTGGGAAAATGTAAGCACACTCATGTTTTGCATGAGCTCTGCATAGGTGTGTGTTTTCCAGACTACTTTAACTCCGCATGGAAGATATTTCAACTGATTTATCTAAGAATTTCCAAGTGAAGAGTATCTGTACTGTAAAGCAAAGCACTCTAGATTGCTCATTTTATCAGTACCCTACATCCAGTAGAAGAAACGGGGTCATAGAAGAACCTTCTTTGAATATGAGAATGATAATGTGATTTGGATATACGCACATTTAACTTCAGATTTTCTACAGTCAAGAACGAAATTGACCAGTATTTGAATGACTTTACTGCTGCAAATATTTGGCTGTGTGACAAAATGCAAATGCTAATTGTTATTCAGAATCTTCGAGTCTTCAGAGCAATCTCCTGTTGACATTTTAATAACATTGTTTGGAATGATTTCCGAAGTGTGGTGACTGCAGCATACCCGCAGTAACAAAAAGTACATATTGTTTCTGAAAGCAAACAAGCTCAAGTTTCATCCTGTTTTTTAGAGGTTTCAAATCTGGGAGAATCAGTTTCTCAAAGGCAAATGGCTGAATTCATTAACTCAGTAGTTTATGAATACAATGGAAAACTTACTTCTTTCTGCTCAGAAATCTTGTAATTAAAAAAAAATCCAGATTTGATATTTACCTCCTGGGCAGAAGACGCTTACCCAGTTTTTAAACGTTTATTTTTATTTATTTTCTCCTAGCAGTATATTGTTGTGGTCTGGTCCTTTCAGCTTGTTTCTGTCGTTTGCTGACACTGTCAGCCGAGAGGGACAAGGAAGTGTTTCGAGAGGACAAGAGCTTATGCTGTTTCAATATATGGAAACGGGAGACAGACCTAAGAGGACTATGAATGTTCTAGCAAGCAAAGCCTGGCAGTCTCCTTCCCTTCCGTTGCATATCCTGGTGAGTTTAATAAAAAACAAACAGAACGCTCTTGTGAAATATAGTCAATAAAGTCAAAGTTTAGCTAGCTCTATGTAACTACAAAGAAAAAGTCATCGCAATTAAAAAAAAATGTAACTTTCGTTAACGAGCGCGCCGGAAATCTCAGGTATCAAAGACGCATTAGCCCTGGAGCGTCCCCTGCGCGCCGCAGCCGGACGGAGGCAGACGCGGCGAACAGACCTCCTTTCTCCTGCGAGCAGTCACACAAAAGGAGGGCTGCGGAAACTAAAAGTTTCGGGGCCTCCGGCTCGGGGCGCGCGGAGCAGAGAAAACCTGGAGACGGGGTGGGTAAAAGACGCTTCCAGAGCGTCCGGGCGCAGTCCTGGCAAGGAGTGAGCTCCTGGGCCTGGAGGGGAAGAGGGAAATAGGGAGCGGGGTCCCGAGCTGCAGGCCCCAGCGGCCCCAGTGCCCGGCCCCCGGTGGCCAGAACACCAAGCTCTCCCGGATCCCCCACACCGGGATCCCAAAATAAAAGCGATGTTTGGAAAGTGCGTGTGTGCGCGCGGGCTTTAGAGCGTGCAGCGGGCTCGCCGAGAGTGGAGTTGGGGGGGGGGG